CTCTCTCTCTCTCTGTGTTTCCCTCTCACACTCTCTGTCCATCTGCCTGTCTGTCTATCTGCCTGCCTTTCGCGCGCAGACCATGAGTCTGTCAGCCGCGGTTGGTTCAGCTTTGGATTCCGGACCAACATGCATGCAGAATACAAGCTACTGGTTATGTGAAAATGTCAGAGATTCATTCAATCCGGCCATGGTGATCATGGACGAACTACATCAAGATCGAAGCTCTCCCAGTACCCTCTCTTGCCCAGGTTGGTTTTCTCATTGTTCATGCCGGATCCTGAGCTGTGCTTCCGAAGGTTCGACTATTTGCAGGGTGCGTCGAATCGCAAGCATGGCATGCCTGTGAGTTTTGAGTGCACCTGTTTTCCTTGAGGGCCTCCTGCGCGTGCGGCTCCTGGTGCTTCAATGCCCTGCCCGGGCCTTGCTGACTCCTCTCAGCATCTTATTCCCGGACACGACTGCACATGTCGCTTTAAATCGACAAGCCTCCAAGCTCGAGTATGTTCTCTGCGCATCAGGTCGGCCACTTGGTGCCTTGGAGTAGACAGCTACGCCTCGCTGAAGAGAACTTGTGTCCTGCTGTACTTCGAAGCAGGCAGCGAGCAAATGTCGAGTGGATCCCAATACAAATTGGTCCAAGGAGCCCAGAGCGGCTTTTGCAGCCGCTGCTGACAATCGCGGCACTGACATTGCTGGCAGCAGCCTACGCGGCCAAAACACAGTCGGTGCTGCTGGCTCTGGCTTCCTGGATAGAAATCTGTGCGGGAGTTCACGAGGCCCTTCTTGGCATCGCGTGAGCTTACACCTTTGGCTATGACCGCGGCTTTTGGTCGTCTCGTCTGTCGCGTACTGTCAGAGCTTTGGTGCTCAGGCTGCTTTCGCGCTGTTCGAGTTGTGCGTGGGGATCTATTTCCCGTGCATCAGCACTGTGAAGAGCCATGTGGTGCCCGACAGTGTGAGTGGCGCGGCCGAATCCACGTGAGGCCACATGCTTGACTGCAGCTAAGAGTGTGGATAAAGGTGCGCAAATTGTTTGGAAGCGTACCTCTGCGGCATGTCGCAGCACAACAGCCCTAAGGGACACTCGTCTACAGCCTCTACCGCGTGCCTCAGAATGCCTTTGCACTCGCCGTGCTCCTTCGCGTGACGCCGGCATATTGCTTGAACTTGTTCACGCGGTTCTTGTGGAGATTGGACAGTGGCGAGCTTCCTGAGAGCGTGGCATGGTGCAGGTACCTTCGCAAAGCACCGCCCTGGTGGTTTGCGCGGTGGCGGCTTCAGCTTGTGAAACGCAGCCAGTCTTGCCAGAACGGTTTCCGGCCTAGACGGGCATTTGATCGGCGATCGCTACTGGCTATCGTACTAAGCATACCAGGAGGTGGGAGCAAACTTGGCAGCAAAGTTCCAAGCCATTGGTCTGAGGTCGCACTTCTGCTGGTCGAAGCATGGGCTGCATGCGCAAGTCTCAGTTCAACATGCGCAGCAACCACTCGCATCTCTGCAGCTTTCCGAGGCAGGCGAGCTCCACGCACTGCTGGATGTTAGCAGGGCGATCGCTGGGGTCTTTATATTCTGCACAGATGAAGGCCGATGACCCAGCCGAGTTCTATAACTATCTGTAATTGTAAGAAGGGAATCCCGACCTGGTCGTTCGAGCCGGTGCAAGGGGACTTGCGAAAGTCAGACCCTCGAAACTACAGGCATGTCCTGCCCCTGCGTTCCATATGCACGCAAAAACTGCGAATGCATATCCGGCCTTCATGTGGCCTTGTGCTGGCTTCACAGCTGCACGTCTAAACTTGTCTAAACTTAAAATGCCACGTGGGGAGGGCTCTGTGGACGCTAAAGCTCGTGTCCTGTCGTAAGCTCCCTTCTCACGTGGCAATGATCGCTGACGCTGAGAGCTGGCGATAGCTCGGAAGCATCACATCTCCAGGAGTAAAATGCACAGGATATGTGCACCGCTTCTTCAGTCCAGCGTGCTGTGAGTAGTACAGTTCTTGCGACATATGCGTGATTTTGCCAAAGCTTAAGCCGAGAAAGTACGGACGACAAGACACTCACCGAGACGGCATCTTGCACAACAACCCTTTCAACTTTCATTCTGATAGAGTGCATTCACACTATCTTTGGTACTGCCAGCTATCATCACTCATAGCTCATAACCGTACTTAAATGATCAGGCAGAACCAGTACACGTTGAAATCTGGCAGCCTCGGACGGTTTGAGTCGTGTCCAGAGCTGCCGCTTCGTTGCCGACGATGCCTACCTACGAATACCCGGTGGCACTGGGGCTCGCATACATCCTTCTAGTCGGGTGCCTCCAGCTCAGATTCCAGAATCAATGTTCACTGGTTGAGATTCTGCTCTGCCAAGTCATGGCCAGCTGCAGAAGTGCGGGTTGAATCCGACATAGCCTGCATGGAAGTTTGTGGTCGGTCAGGTGCCTCATCAGGGCCTTTTTCGTCTTCGTGGGCTTGCCAGCATCGGTAGGCTGGCAGAGCGCCTGTTGCTTTGTATGCCTTCGCCCGGTCCTGGCTGAGTGGTGGCGTTGCAAGGCGTGATGCTAAGTGGCTTCATATTCCAACACTTCTTCCAGAGCGACCTCTTCTTCGCCCGAGATGAACTGCAAGGGTGGGCGCCTTGATGTTCGGGGGAATGGGGCGGTGCCAGGCTGCCTTCCTTGCTTGCAGCCTGCGAACAGCAAGAGCAGTGCAAACGTTCTTTGTTCGCCAGGCTCTCGTTTTTCTTGGTGCTTCTCATTGCCGGCTTGGAGATTCGGTCCAAAGACTTGCAAGCACACATCTTCGTGTGACTCTGCTGCAATCGAACATGTTGTCAGTGTAGCATGATTGCTCCAACGATGTCACGATGCATGTCTCTCGCGAGAGACTTCCTCTGAAGCGTCGCGAGATTGCATGGCTTGAGTTTCTGCAACAAAGGATGGCACTCCTGCCTGCAAGTTGCGAACTAATCGGAATTGCCGTGTATGCTTGCAAAGCCCAGTCCTCAGCGACCAAGAGTGGCATGAACAAAAACGGCGCACATATATACCTACATACCTATATCATCTTACATACTTATAAGCCTGCATACATACATTACATTACATGGCCCGTGCATACATAGTGTTGTGCGGGGGGTGGGTCTAGCCGCTCAGCATGAAGCGCATGGGTTTCCGCAGCCAGAAGAACGATTCGAAAGGCGAGTCACGGAACAGCGCTGTTTGGCTTCGCCTGCTTGCTGCTGATGTTGGGGTGCTTGAGATGTGAAGTTCCGACCCCAAACTGCTGCCTTGACCAAGGTGCTGGAGTACACTCCGGTCGAGGGCATGGTGCTCGGAAGTGTCCTTGTCGCGATGGGTGATGGGCTGGTCATCCCCAAAATGAAGGCTGGTTCGCGAGCTCGTGCTCTTGCTGTACCGGTTTGATCCGTTTGGTTCAGAGAGTTTTGGAAGGATGCGGTGACTAGCCTTGACTGCTAGCCAACTGCTACTTATCTATCAATGTTCAGGAAGAGAGCCGGAGGTTTGGGACAGCCGCGTCAGCTCAAAAGCTGCTTGCTTCCTGCGGCAGGAGTTCTCGCAGACGTTCCCGGACCATCCGTTGCCGCGGCTGGTGTTTGCATGGGCTCCTTTGGAGGCGAGTGATCGATGCTCGGAAGATCTTTGAAGACCTGCCGTTCCATGTGGCTCTCTGAGGCCTCGTTCGCCCTGACCGCCTTTGGGGTTCTCACAGGCCTGGCGTCGCCGGCCCATCAAGCACCCACCCCATTGGGAACCATTCTTCTGGCAAACTTCCTTCGCCTGGTCGCAACCCTGGCGCTGGGCATCCTGTTAGGCTGGGGAATTGTCAATTGTTCGGAAAGCCAAAGCCAATAGTCACTTTTTTTGTCGAAGATGCCTTGAGGATGTGTGAGCTGTTGGTTCATCGCCAGCCGGCAGAAGATGCGGATCTTGAAGCTTTTATTCCAGGATCCGGCTACAGAAGGTGGGATCCCTAGGCTGTACAGACCGGCTCTCTATCCCGCGCTGCCGATTTCCCAATTCCTTGCCGTGGCAGCAGGGCCGGGCCACTGGGGTTTGCTTTAAGCCAGAACCCACCGGAGCATCAGCCCCTGAGAATCCGAAGCTTTGAAGCTGGTCAAGCGCCGGAGATGGAGGCCACGCGAAGCCTACAATAAGAAAGGTTGCCTGGGGAGCAGCAGGCGCGAGGAAACCGTGGCATCAGTGTCACCAGTAGACACAACACTTGAAGCAAGGATCTGTGCTTTGATACATATGGGCTGCATGGTGGCATGTCCTGTGTGCTTCAACGCCCAAAAGCAACAAGTCTGCGACTAAGGTGGCAAAACAGAAGGCTTCCTTGTCCTCATCTCTGTTACGCTCATTGCTTTGTCATTGGGCAAGGGCGAGTCTGGAAGCGAGTTGGTTCCGATGGGCTTCTGTCCAGGCTCGAGCTGAGTGGATTCCACTGTCGTTGTTTTCGTCGTCAGCGTGGTTGTGGTTCTGGCGATGGTTGTGGATGTAGTAGTAGTAGTAGTAGTAGTAGTAGTAAGCAGTAGTAGTAAGCAGTAGTAGTAGTAGTAGTAGTAGTCGTCGTCGTAGTAGTAGTAGTAGGAGTAGTCGTGGTGGTGGTGGTGGTGGTGGTGGTGGTGATGGTGGTGGTGATGGTGGTGGTGGTGGTTGCTGTTGGCAACGTGGGTGCAACGGAGTCGTTGTTTCGGCCGACCCCGCGAAGAAACTTGCTTTTGGGGGTGGAAGGGGGGCGGGTGGTTAACGTTAACAGGCAGAATAGGGCCTTTGATTCAACACGTGTACTTAGGTTTTGGAAATGCGTCGACCGTGCCTGGGGCGGCGGGTGCATCCATGGCCCAACCATGACAACGCCACTGGTACCAATGCAGCCTTCGGGACAGGCATCCATGCCCGGATGATGATATCGTACGTGTTACATGCTACCCGTGCATCCTTCAGGACGCAGTATCCATGCCCGAACGGCGATGGCTTCCCTGTTGCCAGTTACCAGTGCATCATTTGCGAGCATCCATGCTCGAACGATGAACATTCATGCTGCCAGTGCATCCTCTGAGGCTGAGCATCCCTACCCGAAGGATGCTAACGTCCATGCTACCCGATCTACCCGTCCGTCTTTTGCGATGGAGCATGCGTGCCAAACGACGATGACGTCCATGAGAGCATCCATACTCGAACTATGATGGCAACCCCTGCCCCGAGCATGATGATGTCCATCTTACCAGTGCAACCATACCCCCACCATGACGAACTTTCTGTTACCAGTGCACTCTTTCCCCGACCATGATGAGGTTCGTGCCACCTGTGCCCATTATCAGTCGCAGCGGCAGCGGCAGCAGCAGCAGGGGGAGGAGGAGGACTGCCACTGCTGCTGCTGCTGCTGCTGCCGCTGCTGCTGCTGCTGCTTTCAGAAGGACAACCACGACTACGAACGTTCCACAAACATTGCGCCGACGGCGAAGACGAAGACGACGACGACCACACCACCACCACCACCACCACCACCACCACCACGACGACGACGACGACGACGACTGTACTAC